ACAGCAAGACAATATTTTGTGAAAAAATTGCAGCCATAATCATATATGTGCTCCAAGTTATACGTTGTCGTTTGCCTGGCTTCCCAATCCCATTCAACCAAATCCCGATTATCTTATCCGATCGCTTCACAGACCGTTGAGCTCTGATTTTCACAAATCCTCCGACTTTTTTCCTCCCAAATTTGCCGCCACCTATATTATTTCCGATCTCAAAATTGTGGGAAATTGTCCGAATGTCCAAATGAGATCCCTAATTTTCAATTGCCCCACCTCGATTAATCCCATGATCAATTCAATTGGTGCGCGTAAACTCACAAAAAAAGTCGAATTATCGACCAGCAGCTTTCAGTTATCCGGCCATCGGAACTTTGGTGTTAGGGTTTCCAAATTTTCCGGAAAAACTTGTTATTCGAGTTTTCCGAGCGAGAGCAATGGCGGCCAAGATGAGCAGAGTACAGTTCAAGGCCTCTGGGTTCCCAGCGATTGGATGGAAGCTTCTAGAGCCCTCGAGGTAGTTTATCTTATTTCCTTATTCTTTCTATTTTTTCTTTTCTTTTTGATTCATGTTAATTGTTCTGTGTTGTTTGAAACTTTTCAAAGAATTCTTCAATTACTAAAATCTTAGGAGTTCGTAATGCTTTCAAATATAATTTCAAATGAGAAGTAGGCACGAATTTACCTTACAAATGCTTCATGAAACTGATTAGACAAAAATTCACAACAGTTACATTGAGATGACCTTAACGAATGAAATAATTGCAATAAGATTTTTATCCTTTTTGCTTTCAATTATCTTTTCTTCTTGATGGGTAGAAGAATAAGCCAACCCTTGGCTAAATTGTTGTTCTGAAACATACAACATTGCTTGATGGCATTGATTAAAGAGCGATTGAAGTTGCTTCATTTATTGATGGAGGAAAAGAGTTCAATAAATAAACTCTTTGTAACTTATGTCATCTTCTCTTTTACCATCAAATATAAGTCTTTTATGGTACACAATTTAGTGTTGAATAAGTTAACTTAATATTCAAATGAGCCATACTTCATGGATTTTCTTACATTTATTGCAAATTTGCTTGAGTCAATGCAATAGTTAAGCATAAGTACAGTGTATGTTTGTCTTGGTTCACATTTATTTCCATTTTACGAATTATATACTCTGGAGATGGGTTATTGTGCTGCAAATGTGAAACTCAAGTGAGTATTTATAATTCAGATATTACATAACTTGATTTTGTTTCAGTTAATTTATTTATTTAGCTTTTCATATATGGCCTGCAGCCCTTAAGCAGGGTTATGTATTCGAATTTGTACAAATTAATCACAAGTTAAAAAGAAATTACTGCATGCTGACCTAACCTAACCACAAAACAAAATGGAAAAAGAGAAAAGATAATCAATCAGAACTTGAATACTTCTTTACATATTACAATTTGCAACCACTAACCTAAAGTCTGTTATTTATCAAATACCTTATTTCTTGTTGTTGCTAATTGTATCCTGATGACATGTTAATCATTGATAGATGATACATCTGTTATTCCTTACAAATCATCAGCAGTTGAGACACAAACACACACACACACACAAAATGTACAAGTAACTTCTAAGCTGAAAACAATACTATATATAGTAACAAACTAATACAGATAATATTTGTACTTACAATAATTTTGAAAGATAAGTAGATTATGTGCCTGCATAGTAACGTTCACTTTTTCAGTCATCCTAATTTAATAATCAATACGCAGGAGTCAGAATGGCTCAGAGTAACCCTTCAAAAATGGCTGGACGATGAGTACTGCCCGGAGCCCACTAATATAGAAATAAGCCGAGTTGCTGCAAAATCATTCTACAAATCGCTGATGGAGAAGAGAGTCGATTTGGGAGACATTTTGTTGAAAATGGCAGTAGAATTAGAGTCTATCTCCTATCAAGAAAGCTTTCATGGGGCATTTTCGTCGGCAAATGCAGCCGTTGATCTTATTGTACAACGAATACTAGAGTAGGCAATTACTGCTTCGTGTAGACAAAAAATAAAGAAAAACATTCTTCATGTTTGTTCCACTGTTTTTGTGTAATCCTTCTTTAACAAGCATATTGCGACAAAGTAAAAATTTCAGAATTTAACATAAACCGTTGGGCAGATCCTGAACAATATTTCATTAGTAAAGCGTAAAATCCAACTAGTTGGGTAAAAAGAACATTACAAACAGTCGAGGAAGGCCCTTCTAACGAACAAACTGAAATCTGCCAATATTTGCAGACAAAGAGTAATCTTTTTGGAGTTCCCACAGATCTTTTTTGTACATAAACTCAAAATCCCTCCTCAACGAATACAGACATAAGTTAAAACAATTCAATTGGCCTCGGAAGCTTGAGTATTAAAGCTAGAACCTTCAGCAGCAGTTGCAGTTGCAGGCAAAGTCACAGGTGGTACATACATTGGTGGGCCACCACTGGTCGGGATTCCACCACTACTAGGAACCATTGCTGGAGGAGGAGGAGGAAGAGGAGCTGTTACAGGTCTTTGAAGACCGTTTGGTTGACCGGTCAAACCCGGAGGAGGCATTTGAGGCATGGGAGGACCAGCTGCATAGCCTGTTCTTCATGCAAACAATAAAAGAATCAAGAGATGGAAAAACATTAACACAAAGGACCTCATTTAAGAAGACGAATGAATAATCTCATTATTATTTGCTTTAATAAAGAATTCCGTGAAATGAATGTTTGATGCATTGTAGTTGGATGATACAGTTTTCAGAGTGATGAGAAGTTTAATGCACATCCATAAAACAATCAAATAGGAAGCACATTAATTTTGTTGGGAAATTCACTTTTTATTCCAAAGTTCATAAAATATCCTGTCCAACCCTCGTCCCACGGCTTTCGACCTAACCGAGGCTGTTCGTCCTTTTCTTTTAAAAGCTCTTCCAAATAACAAATGTAAACGACCCTTAGGGTATCCATCAGCTAAAACCTGTAAAATTCTAACACAAGGAACCCATAATCTCACAAACACCAAACAAGGGTTTGACGATACTATCACATATAACACACAGAACTGGCACGAATTTTTTGTTGATTGATTGAAAAAACTATTCAAACTCACCATTCATAACTCACATGCAAATATTTGACTGCTTCCCAAGGAAAATGTGCCTCAAACATACACAAAATGCACATTTATGAAAAAGGAAAAAGATGATGAAAACCATAGCTTTTCCTGGCTACTTCACCATACCTGGAACTCCAGGCATAGGTCTTGGAAATACAGGAGGTCTAAACCCGGGGATTGACGGGGCACCAGGAAGCAACTGCCCTGGAACTGGTAATGGAGACGGTATAATCGGCATACCAGGCCTCAGCTGATTATAAGGAGCCATTGGAGGCCTAAATGCCCCTCCTACTAGATGTTCCTTAACTTTTTGATCAATAAAGCTTTGATTTAATTGCGCCTCGTATTGTTGATAGTAAAGTCTCACGTTCGCCTGCTCGTCATAATATGTAAGGACATATGTAATCTTAAACTTCAAACAAAAAAAAAAAAAAAAAAAGAAAAAAAAAGTTGTGAGGAGGTTGGGGACAGGGAGACAGTGTACCTTGTGCTTGTACCCCGCATTATGTTGTTTTCTAACTGAGGGCTGCAGTCACCAATTTTCAAGATTTGAACATTCATATCTTAAAATCAAGCACATATAAGATAGGACCTTGATCTTAAAAGGTACATTGTTCTTGTATAAAACCAAATCCAAATAATCAACTGATTCGATCAACCTCACGGGTGCCATCATTTTAGTGTTATTTTTTCATTCCACGGCAAAACCAATTAATCGAATTGAGAACACCAGTAAACTGTGAGCGGGTAAAACAAATATGAAACCATCCACACTTTAGCAAGTAGCAAACATTAACATCCAACGATTTTCAATCCATTTTTATTTTTCCCCTTCTCAACCAACTCATCCACCGAACAGCAAATCACAAACAAAAAAAATTCAAGGAGTCTAAAACTCACGGAATCATGCGTCAGGTATGTGTCACAGTAGTCGCAGTAGTACCTGAAGAAGCAAAAAAGAAAAGCGAAAAATCAGAGACGAAAGCCACTATTTGAAATCGCCATAAGAAATCCAAAAACAAAGCTGGAAAAAAAAAAAAAATAAAAATGAACAAATACCTGGGCATTGCGAAAATTTTAAGCTACGCGTTCAACCAGAAAATTTACCGCGATCAAATTTCGGCAAATAGTAAATCTGATTACAGATCAATAGAAAATTTGTTGATGAAGCTACCAGAAAAACCCTAGAAGCAGAGCAAGAGAAGCGTTGTCATTTTCAGCGTGATTGAAAGCGCTTTTACGATTGAAAGCGTTGTCATCATCAGTTCATGAGCTGCTGCCTGTTGGTATACACGTGTGAGTATAGGTATTGCAAGTTATTTGGGCCGGATGCTGTGGACCTCTGGTTAACAATTATAAAACACAAAGCGGCCCGAATAGTTAGGTGGCCATTAGGCCCATGAAATACTAAAAAAGGGCTATGTTACACATAAATTGGGGGTGTGGTTGAAAACAGTTTCTGTTTGTTGTAACTTTTAAGTAGAGATGTTAAATGAGTTGAGTTGAGTCGAGCCAAGCTATGGTTGTAAATTAATTGAACCAATAGACGAACTAGACTCGTTTATTAAAATTAATGAGTGAAACTTGAATTTTAATGAGCCAATATAAGATAATAGTCCAAGAAATTAATTACGTAAAATCTATATTTCTCGAGCCATAACAAGCCGAACTGAGTTCGACATTAACCAAACAAAATGTTAAAAAAAACTCGAACTCGATTTGTTTATCAAATGATATCCAAACTCGAGTGAAACCCACAAGTAGCTCGATTCATTTAAAAGTTATTGTTGCAAGATGTAAGTTTGTAACAAAGAGTTTTTCTTACATGTCTTTATTATTATTATTATTATTTTCTATTTTCATTAAATAGCTTTTAAGAACATTTCCAATGATTTTTGTATAATTAATAGAATGCCTTGTGCTACACAAGACTTTGGACCTGTTGTGTTAAAAACTAAATTTAATTTAATATAATTAAAATGGGACTAGATCTAGATGGTTTGACATGTGAAAAAATGGACAATGTCTCCACTTTGATCTATTTTGAAACATATTTGATAAAACCACTCATATTTATCGTTTTAGACCTTATTCAAAATACTATATCGGAGTGAGTACTATTTTTTCTTCTATTGGTCCATATCATTTAAGACTAATTTATATTATTTTGACAACTAAGCAAAATTAGGCAAATTGTGAATGCTCTAAAAGTATCTCCAATACTCAGAGTTTTTTGGAAAAAAGATTTGAAATTTTGTGTTAAAAATGTTAAATTTCGGGTATAAATTATACACGGGAATCCTACGAACTGATATGTAAATTTTTCAGTTCTTACAAATAATCTAAAAAATAGAAAATTACAATTGAACTGAAAATTAAATTAAAACTTAAAACGGAAAGATTAAAGCCGAGGCGAGTAAAACTCTTTCCGCAAGAAGAATACGCCCCGTGTGGCTGCTAACGGTTCAGGCGTAACTTCCCCAAAGATACAACGGCAAACGCCTCTAAATCTGTAGCACACCAGATTTACGAGCTTCGGCGAACTAGATCGAAGTCGAGAATTGAGCACTTAAAAACAAATAGAAATAAAATTATCTATATGATAATTTTTCTATAATTTTTTTTTTCTCACAATTTTTTTTTTTACTTTCCTTTCTTTCTTCTTTTCCCTTCACCTCTATTCTTTTCCTTCTCGTCTTTGGTGTGTCCTTTCAATTTGCACCAAAGTGGTATTTATAGCAAATGGCAACATTTGAATATTTGGTTTGATAGTTTGAAAAAAATTGGATATTTGGTGTGAAGGTTTGGAAAAATTGATTTTGGTTGGAAGATTGGAATTGGTTTAGAAATTAATTCTACACTCAAATTGATTAACAATCCCCCACATGAGTGTAAATTAAAATATATATACTAGTGTGCTCAATCCTCGCAAAACTCTATTGCATCAGAAAAGGTAGCTTTGGGCTTTGAACCTTTCTTTGTAAACATCATCGGATGCACTGGCGGACTAGTGGACATGATGCCTTGAACTATTCCTCCGTAGTGTACACTGAGACAATGACATTTACACAATAGAGTTTTCACTCCATTCCGTTCTATCGTTGTGTCCGTTTTGGCCATAGACAACACAATGGATTCATAAGTGTTTACATTTGAAGCGGCCCACACTTCACACTTGTATAGGTGACCTCCCTATCAAGAGTATCCTGTTTTTCTCCACCTTTACAAGGTTAGGGATTCATTAAAAGTCCAAATGACTTACCCTCACCACAATCAACAGGTCATCTTGCACTTGGATTGCTCTAGGGAATAGCTTTGGACATTCATATATTCCAAGTGCTCAACTGAATTTTCATAGCTTAGTTTTCCCTTTGAACCAAGTTCGTGGGATCTCCACTCAACATGGTAGGGTTACCACTATGATCATTCTTTACATTGTGGATTTTTAAGCCCATTCCCTCTAGCATAACTAACAATTGATCTCTATTTAATCCTTTCGTCAAAGGATCAGCCAAATTTTCCTTAGACTTCACATAGTCAATGGAAATAACACCATTTGAGATCAATTGGCGTACGGTATTATGTCTACGACGAATATGTCTAGACTTACCATTATACAAGTTGCTTTGTGCCCTACCTATAGCAGCTTGGCTATCACAGTGAATCATCACAGGCGGCAAAGTCTAATTCCAACATGGAATATCAGATAAAAAATTTCTAAGCCACTCGGCTTCTTCGCCAGCTTTATCTAAAGCGATGAACTCCGATTCCATCGTTGACCGAGCTATACACGTTTGTTTTGTGGATTTCCATAAAACTGCACCTCCTCCAATACAGAATACATATCCGCTAATGGAGCGAGAATCTCTCGAATCTGATATCCAGCTTGCATCACAGTACCCTTCAAGTACGACTGGATATCTCGAGTATTTTAGCCCGTATTCAAGGGTGTACCTCAAGTACTTAAGTACCCTTCTCAAAGCATTCCAGTGTTCATGACTAGGATTGCTCGTAAATCTGCTCAACTTATTCACCGGGTAGGCTAAGTCTGGTCGTGTACAATTCGTCAAGTACATCAGACTCCCTAGTACTCGTGAATATTCTAACTGAGCCACTGGTTGACCTTTATTGGTTACCAAATTTATACTAAGATCAATGGGTGTCTTACACCTACACTGTGCACCGTCATAGGTATCAAATTTCTTGAGCACTTTCTCTACATAATGAGATTGTGACAAGACAATTCCATCTTGGGTTCTGATAATTCTTATTCCAAGAATAACATCAGCCAAACCCATATCTTTCATGTCGAAATTTCTTTTCAACATTCTTTTCGTATCCATGATCACGTCATGGCTACTCCCCATGATCAACATATCGTCTACATATAGACATACAATCACAAATGCATTTGATGTACTCTTGACATAAACACATTTGTCACATTCGTTGATTTTGAAACCATTTGACAACATCACGTCATCAAATTTCAAATGCCATTGTTTCGAAGCTTGTTTCAGTCCGTACAAGGATTTGATCAATCTACACACCTTTCTCTCTTGTCCAGGTGCAACAAACCCTTCAGGTTGTTCCATGTATATTTCTTCTTCCAATTCACCATTTAAAAATGCCGTCTTGACATCCATTTGGTGAATCTCAAGATTGTGCAAAGCAGCAATCGAAAGAAGCACTCTTATCGACGCTAAACGCGTAACTGGTGAATAGGTATCAAAGAAATCATACCCTTCTTTTTGTTTAAAGCCTTTGACCACCAAACGTGCTTTAAACTTATCAATCGATCCATCAGCTTTATATTTCTTCTTTAGGATCCACTTGCATCCTAAAGGTTTACAACCATCAGGGAGATCAACCAACTCCCAAGTATGGTTCTGCATAATGGACTCGATTTCGCTATTTACAGCTTCTTCCCAGAGTGGTCCATCTGGGTTGGACAGAGCTTCCTTAAGAGAACTCGGTTCATCGTCCAACATGTACGTAATAAAATCAGGTCCAAACGTTTTTGCCGTTTTTATCCTTTTACTACGTCTCGGTTCTTCAACAGTACCCTCTGGTACAGAACCACTAGCAGTTTCATATGTTCGTTTATTAGAACTAGATTCTGCTCTTTCCTTCAGAGGAAAAATATTCTCGAAGAATATAGCATTCCTCGACTAAATCGTGGTACCAACAGATACCTCTGAATTTTCTGTTTTATGAACCAGAAATCTATATGCTGTACTATTGTACGCATATCCAATAAATACACAATCGACCGTCTTTGGCCCGATTCTCATTTGTTTGGATTCCGGTACTGAAACCTTAGCCAAACACCCCCACACTTTCAGGTATTTATAAGACGGCTTACGATTTTTCCACATTTCGTAAGGAGTCTCATCTTTCCCTTTAGGTGGTATTTTATTCAAGATATGATTTGCTGTTAAAACAGCTTCTCCCCACATGTTCTGTTGTAATCCTGAATTTAACAACATGGCATTCATCATTTCTTTTAATGTACGGTTCTTGCGTTCAGCAACACCGTTCGATTGTGGAGAATAAGGGGCTGTCGTTTGATGAATTATGCCATATTCAGAACATATTTGTTCAAAAGGAGCTACATACTCCCCACCCCTATCACTTCGGATTATTTTAATCCTTTTGCCGAGTTGATTTTCAACTTCGGTCTTATAGATTTTAAATGCTTCCACAGCCTCGTCTTTGCTTCTTAATAAATATAAGTAGCAAAACCTTGTGCAATCATCGATAAAAGTAATAAAATACTTGTTACCCGTTCTTGTTTGCACACTTTTCATATCACATACATCAGTATGGATTAAGCTTAATGGTTCAGTACTCCTTTCCACCGAGTGAAAAGGCAACTTAGCCATTTTTGCTTCAATACAAATTTCACATTTTTTATGTGATTCAATTTTAGAATTAGGAATTAATTCTAAATTCATCAACCGTTTAATTGCATTTCGATTTACTATGCCATAAATCAGAGCAGTCAACGGTATAAACAGAAATAGGCTTTTCATTATCATTTAAAACGGTTACACGGCTCACGGCCATTACATTCATTTTAAACATACCCTTGTCGAGATAGCCACGACCAAGGAAAGTTCCAAACTTGCTAAGAACAAATTGCTTAGCATCAAATACCAGCCTAAATCCATGCTCAACAAGAAGAGATCCGGAGACCAAATTCTTGCGGATGTCTGGGACATGCAGAACATCCTTAAGCTTCAACTCCTTTCCAGAAGTCAGCTTTAGCACCACAGTGCCCACTCCAGCCACATCAGCCGTGGCGGAGTTTGCCATGTAAAGTTTCCGACTCTTAGCAGAAGTGTATTCTGAGAACACCTCCTTATCGGAACACACATGACGAGTGGCACCAGTATCGATGTACCACTCCCTTGGGTTATCCACCATATTGGCTTCAAACACCACAGCCGACATATCAAAGTCGGTCAATTCATCCGGCACAGGGCCGTGTTCAGCCACAAGGGCACTCGGTTTACCTTTCTTTGGCCCAGCCTTCTTTGGCCTCTTGCAGTCTTTAGCCATATGGTTCGGCTTTCCACAATTATAACAAGTTCCGGTAAACTTCCAAACCTTGGCAGGCTGCTTCCCTTTGTCTAGTGACTTCCTTTTGCTCGAGTTGCCTTGCTCTATCAAGTTAGCACGAGCCTCCATCATCGGAATTTTCCCCGATGAATTACGATTGTCCTCCTCAATACGAAGACGAACAATCAAGTCTTCAAGACTCATTTCCTTCCTCTTATGTTTGAGGTAGTTCTTGAAGTCTTTCCAACTCGTCGGCAATTTTTCAATCACAGCCGCAACTTGGAATGACTCGCTCAGAGACATTCCCTCAGCATGGATATCGTGCAAGATAAGTTGAAACTCTTGCACTTGTGACACAACGGTCTTTGTGTCAACCATTTTGAAGTCAAGAAATTTTCCGACGACGAATTTCTTCGCCCCGGCATCCTCGGTCTTGTACTTCTTTTCCAAAGCAGCCCAAAGCTCTTTGGCAGAACCAACCGAGCTGTACACATTGTACAACTCGTTACTAAGTCCGTTCAGGACATAGTTACGGCAAAGGTAATCACCTTGCCCCCAAGCTTCGTACGCAGTGCGTAGTTCAGTATTAGTCTCATTTTCAGCAATAACCGGGGGGTCATCCTTCAGGTATTTCACCAAACCCAAAGTGGTCTGGTAAAAATGCATCTTTTGTTGCCACCTTTTAAAATCAAGCCCATTGAATTTTTTGGGCTTCTCGGCAGTAGGGACATGGACAGCAGGTACATGATTGATCGGATGCTGAGTGTTGGAACCATTTCCGGTGGAAGCCATCAGTCCAGTAGGTTGAAAAATTCTTCTTGCGATTGTTAAATTTTGGGTATAAATTATACACGGGAATCCTACGAACTGATATGTAAATTTTTCAGTTCTTACAAATAATCTAAAAATAGAAAATTACAATTGAACTGAAAATTAAATTAAAACTTAAAACGGAAAGATTAAAGCCGAGGCGAGTAAAACTCTTTCCGCAAGAAGAATACGCCCCGTGTGGCTGCTAACGGTTCAGGCGTAACTTCCCCAAAGATACAACGGCAAACGTCTCTAAATCTGTAGCACACCAGATTTACGAGCTCCGGCGAACTAGATCGAAGTCGAGAATTGAGCACTTAAAAAAAATAGAAATAAAATTATCTATATGATAATTTTTCTATAATTTTTTTTTTTCTCACAATTTTTTTTTTCTTTCCTTTCTTTCTTCTTTTCCCTTCACCTCTATTCTTTTCCTTCTCGTCTTTGGTGTGTCCTTTCAATTTGCACCAAAGTGGTATTTATAGCAAATGGCAACATTTGAATATTTGGTTTGATAGTTTGGAAAAAATTGGATATTTGGTGTGAAGGTTTGGAAAAATTGATTTTGGTTGGAAGATTGGAATTGGTTTAGAAATTAATTCTACACTCAAATTGATTAACAAAAAATACTCCAACGAAGAAAAAATACTAAAGATATATTAGGTAAATCTTGAAAAGCTAGTAGATAGTTAATAAGTTATTTGCTAATTTATAAGTAAATTTAAGTTTATTAGCAAGTATCTTATGGTTGATAATTGAAAATATTTGATAAAATTAGTTGATAAATCAGTTAAAATAAAATTTTCATTTCTTTAATCTGTCTAAAGAACTTATGAGATAAGCTCGTTTTTTTTTTTAACTCATCCTATTCAAACAAAGTTATTTAAATGCAAGAAGTTTACGAGCTAACTACATAAGCTACAACTTATGATACTTATTTAAATTACTCTAGGTCTAAATGATGTTGAATATGAAAAAATAGGGGAAAATTTCAAAATTAGTCCCACAGATATAGGGGGATGACAATTTTGGTCCCGACGGAATGCACAAAATATGAATAGTCCCACAACTTTTAAAAAATGATCAAAAGTAGGACTTTTTCGCCGGATTTACTATTTCCGGCCCGGAGCGCCACGTGGCGCACACGTAGCGTACACGTGGTGCACACGTGGCTTATTTTTTACACGCTGGCATCCGACGTAGATAGAAAAAAATTCAAAACTAGTCCCACAAGTATAGAGGAGTGACATTTTTGGTCCCGATGGAATGCAGAAAATTCAAAACTAGTCCCACAACTTGTAAAAAAATATGAACACGTAGGATGCCACGTGGCGTTCCGGGCCGGAAATAGTAAATCCGGCGAAAAAGTCATACTTTTGATCATTTTTTAAAAGATGTGGGACTATTCATATTTTCTGCATTCCGTCGGGACCAAAATTGTCACCCCCCTATACCTGTGGGACTAATTTTGAAATTTTCCCAAAAAAATAGACTAGATCCCACTTGTATCCATTTTAAATGAAACGAGTTGAACTCACAAGCAACTCGTTTCATTTAAAAGCTTTACTCACGTGCGACTTATTTTGATTAACAACCCTGGTTACACATCCAAACAATTGTATATTTCGTGGCAACTATCTTTGTCACAAATTTAGGTTTTGCATCCCATTATTCGTTTATAATTCATCTCAATTCGGAAATTTTTTATACCTTTTGTTAAATTCCTCTGTTGTCTTCATGACTACTAATTAAAAATTATGTATTTATATTCCAACAACAACTTTTAAGATAAACAACTAAATTTTAAAACGATTGGTGTTTAGTGTCTGCAGATAATTTTTAAATCAGCTTTATTTTCTGTGATGAGAGTGATGATATTTGTTAGTTCTACTTTATTTTGTTTGTATGTAATTTCAATTAAAGTTAGTATTTTTATTTCCAAAATAAAAGAAAAATTATAAAGTTATTAAGTCAACTGTATATCCAGCTGTAACTTCACATATAGATTGAAATCTGAGTTGTATTATAATTTAATTTTACTTTTTGGTTTTTCCTTAAATCTACTATCCGTTGGATGGGGCAAACAAAAATGGGCAAGTTGGGGACAAGATAATGTTATTGCATGGACTTTTGTAATAACATGCGAATTTAATAACAGCATTTTTCCTATTGGTGAGGCAACATCATTTTTCTATTGGTGGATGCTTGGCGGGACAGTTGTCTTTCTTACCATTTAACCCTCACTCTTTATAAATATCTACAAATATGCCCTTAATAAATTCCATGCAACACTACATCTGAGCGTTATTATGTTTTGACCTTTTCTACATTTGCATTAAATTTAAAATTTTCAAATAATGATTAGGGTTTGTCCCAATCATGATTCATGTAGCTATTTTTTGACTTTGTCAAAATTTATTCACTATTATAAATCATTTGAATAATATGAAATATAAAACATTCAAAGATACATGTAGCATATAGGCATTATTGAGTATTCATTATTCAATTAGTCTCCCGATGTGAAAGAATTCAAGTCAATATTTATTAGGTCTTATTTAAATGGCTTGTTAAAAATTTTACATGTGAAATTTAATAGGAACGATGATGCTTAGATGAGTAATGTCATCATTATGTATTATTTTAACTACATTACAAAAATTTATATCAGTTTTTATATTAATATTATTTTTTCTTTAGGCTAATATTAATTTTGTATTTTTCTAAAATTTAACAATATCTTTAAAATGTTATGCTCGCCTTATGTCAAAATAAAAAAGAAAATAAAATAAATTATAAGTCGTTTTTTATACGATATTATCTTCCTGAAAATATGATATGTTTGATGATCTTTATCATGCGGGGTTGGTTTTGACTTGCAACTTCTATCTGAATTATTTGTTATATAGTTTGTGAATAAAGTATTTCTATATCAAATATCATATTTTATATTAATACTATTTATAATTATGACAGTTCAATAAAAAAATATGTCTATTTATAAAAAGAAATTAATTAAATTGTTTATTTACTAAAAACCACGAACAGACAGTTACAGCTGAAAAGCAGGTTTTTTTTCGTCATAACCGCTGAAAACCATAACTGAATATAGTGGCACAAACCGTAAATACCACCATAACACAAGGACGATTGTTCCCCATTCAATTCAATTACCCAAAAAAAAAAAATAAAAATATAATAATACAGAGGCTCCCACTGGAGAAAAATTCCCAATTTCCTCTTCGAGCGATTGATCGAAGAAGATTTGAAGAACAGGAAATAAAAAGCCTGAATAATCAATTCAGATCATCATCATCATCAAGCATTTGTTCTTATCGGTTGAAGATAATTTTCAGGGCGAGGTAGGAAATCATTTGTGGAGAGAGAAAAGGGTATCCATCTTTCCTTCTTTTCTGGGCTGCAATGGCGGGAGAGGAAAGGGTGAAGCTGTTCGTGGGCCAAGTGCCGAAGCACATGACGGAGCCTCAGCTCCTCGCCATGTTCAGAGAGTTCGCTCTTGTGGACGAAGTCAACATTATCAAGGATAAGGTCACGCGCGCCTCCCGAGGTTATTTCCGGACCTCGTTCGTGTGTTTTTCCCCCTGATATGCGTAACTATTGCAGCCCATTTGAGTTTCTGCAATTGGGGAGCTTCCTTTTGAAGTAATTTTGGTTTTTGGATTTTTTTTGTTTTTTTTTTTTTTAATTATTTTTGTTTGGATTTTCAGGTTGTTGTTTTGTGATATGCCCGTCAAGAGAAGAGGCGGACAAGGCTGTAAATGCCTGTCATAATAAGCAGACGCTGCCTGGGGTAAGTGTAAATGTGATTGCCGAGCTTGTTTGCTTGAGCAGAGACTGTTTTTGTAGCTTGATAGATTATGGATGAAATTCTAAGAGAAAAAGGAGGATCTTTTTCTGGAAATGATAGCACCATACATGAAATAATATGGGTTTTGCAGAACTTGGTGGTGTTGTGTTAATGTGATGATCTAGTATCACTTACTGGATTTTGTTTATGCGATCTATCATCTGTGGCGTTTATGGTCTTATAAAATGTATGGCAGTTAGCATATAAGTGCTGGGATGGCAGTATCTAACTCCCAAGTACATGCCACTGCCAGGTAAGAGTGCTGGAAGTGAAGGCATTATTACTGGTTATGATTTTGTTACATGGATGCTATAGTTGCCTGGAAGATTATGCGATCCGAGGACTTGTTTTCTATTGAAGATCATAATTGTTGAGAAATTTGTACAATTTCTGAATACCTTATGCGAATATCTGCGTATGTCTAGACTTTTGTAGCCAAGTACTCTTGGATTAATCTATAAGTTAAGTGTTCACTAGGAAATCAGCCACGTTGCTGAGCTGTTCATCTGTATTTGCTCCTGGTCGCACTTTAGCCAACGTCTATATAGCTTATATAATTGTGTGAAATATATAGAAAGGAAAATAGTACTGCATTTGGGAGAAACTCATCATTTCTGTTATATCTCGATTTGTGCTTTTTCCACTTATTTTTTTTATTCTTTTGTGTCTTGTAATACCTCAGGCATCTAGTCCACTGCAAGTGAAGTATGCTGATGGAGAGTTGGAAAGACTAGGTGCAGTAATAATCTTTGTCCTCATGTTAGATGCTTTTCACTTGCGGTAGTTTGTCATTTCATATATTATTGTGTTAGTTCAATATGCCTAATCTTAAAGGTATTTTTATTCAGATCTTTTTGTTCATGTTTTGTTTTCTTTCATTTTTTTCGCTAAATACTCATTTATAAATTGTCAGAGCACAAAATATTTGTTGGCATGCTTCCGAAAAACATTTCTGATGCTGAGGTGTCTGATCTATTTTCGGAATATGGAACCATTAAGGACTTGCAGATTCTCAGAGGTTCCATGCAAACTAGCAGAGGTGCATGACCCGTCATCTAATTTTTCACCTACTCTCCGATTTTTATCTTATTTTTTTTTTTATTCTATGAGCTTAATGAGTTAATTTGGCATGGTATGTTGAGTTTGATGAGCCTGGTCTTATCCACTGGAAGTTACATCTAATGAACAACTTCATCATCTTAGGCTGTGCTTTTCTAAAATTTGGAACTAGGGAACAAGCAGTTGCAGCAATAGAAGCCTTAAACGGAAAGCATATGATGGAGGTGTGTAACAGATTAGCTTTGTGCTTCTCACTGCTAAACCCATGCTAAAATCATGCACCATGACTTTTGCAAAGTCCATTTGAATTATTGAAATCATAATCTTTTTAGATATTGTAATAGGGCTCAACTATTCCGCTAGTCGTCAAGTGGGCCGACACAGAAAAGGAAAGACATGCTCGAAAAGCTCAAAAAGCCCTCGCACAGTCTTCTAATGCTCCAATTGCAGACCTCAGGCAGCGTCCATCAATTTTTGGTGCTCTACCAATGGGTTATATGCCTGCATATAATGGATATGGTTATCAGGTCTGTTGGTTTTGTCACAGTATTTGGAATTCTTTGAATCTGTCGTGACACAGGAAAAAAAGAAAAAAAAAAAAAAACAGAGGTTTTGGAACGTAAATGGGCAAGTATAATATTTCTTAACGTACAAGAGGGGTTCTTGAAATGGTGTTTTCTTATCATGTATATACAGAACTCAAGGTTTGATTTTGTAATCTGCAAAAACTTATGGATTATGCAATTAGCCCAAACCTCATATTCAAAAAAATAATAAAAATAAATTACAAAGTGCATTTTCTTGCTGGATGGAGTAATTTTCTCCTAGTTGAATCCAAAGGTACATTTTATATCAAAATTTTCTGCTCGCCTTTGTAGACTCCAGGGACTTATGGACTCATGCATTATCGGGTGCCACCATTGCAGAACCAACACACATTTTCCAATTTGGTTCCACCTTTCAACTTAGCAAGTGGCATGCGTGGAGTTGCATCCGATCTTTCATCTGGAATGGTACAGAGAAATTATGGAGGTTATATAGGATCTGCTTATCCTCCAACACAATACTCTGTAGGACTTGTCAATAGTCGCCAATTTAGTCCCACATCACCTTCTGCTGCCGATACTCAGTCTGCATCATTTTCGAGTGTTGGAACAAGTTCCGGGGCTCAGATTGAAGGTTATTGGATAATTAGTTCTCCTTAGTATAAATTTACACTCCCTACATATTTGATAAGTTACTCTGGCTGATCTTTAGACAACTGCACTGTACATTAGTTAAAATCATATGAGCAGTTATTCTGCAATAATTTTTTTTTTTTTTAAAAGATGAGCAGTGTTATTTCTTCTGTTTGTGTATGTGAATGTTCCATGCATGTGTAGATTTCTTAATGTTATTACCTAATGTGTTCGAAAATCTTTTTGGAAAGCAGGGCCACCTGGAGCTAATTTATTTATTTACCATATACCTCAAGAGTTTGCGGATGAGGACCTTGCGAATGCCTTTCAGCGTTTTGGTAGGGTAATGAGTGCTAAGGTTTTTGTCGACAAAGCAACTGGCGTCAGCAAATGTTTCGGTATAATACAAACACACACTCTTTAGTTACTAGCTATTAACCTGTTGGAATTGCTGCTATCTTTTTTTTTTTTTTTTCTTCTAATTATCAGATAATTGCAGGTTTTGTCAGTTACGATTCCCCGGTGGCAGCACAAAATGCAATCAATGCTATGAATGGCTTCCAGTTAGGTGGCAAAAAGTTGAAGGTTCAACTTAAAAGAGACAATAAACTAAATAAACCTTTCTAACTTTTCAAGTAACGAACGAATGTTCACACGAAATCTCAAACCTTTGGGAAAAAAGCACAAGAAATAATCCTGCAGTTTGAGCTGATTAGGAGGGTGGATATGAAAAAGTCGTGCTTTTTCCGTCCTCTCGTGGGACGAAGTCCCGCTAAGCTGCAACTGTTCATTGATTCATTGATGCCGTACTCGTAGAATGTAAAAATTGTACCACTTTAGATACTCATTTATTTATTGATTAGTTGATTCTTATTCAGATGTGTTTTATTTTTAGTGTATCGTTTTGAGCTTTCCATAGTTATGTAAGTTGAGAATTGGGATGGTACTTTCAGTAGTTTGTGTTGATAATTAACTGTTTGTAATGCTAGGAGTTCCGAAAGTTGAAACTGAGAGCCATTGTACACACACACACACACACACAAAAATCTGAGAGCCAAAATGTTAATGGTCATAAATATAAATAATTATTTTGTATAAATAATACATAATTATTTATTTGAATAATAAGAAATTAATGACTTTACACTGTAAATAATAATAGTGGCAGCTGCGTCTGTTTCGGATTTAGATGTGGGTCGGAATATTTTGGAACCACTAACGAATAACGAAAAAGGAGGATAGGAAAAATATTTTAAGAATAAAACTTTGACAGAGGCGACGACCAAGAGGAGCGCACCGAGGAATTGGTGAACGTCCGGAGTGCCTTCAGGTCTTTTTTTTTATTGGTAAATGTAAAATTATAGATTAAAATTGGTGTTCCAGCGACCGACAAATGACATACAAAAGCGTAGTGGACAGCCACAAGCTCGGATCATCACTCGCGAAAAAAAAAAAAGATTAAAAGGACAACCACAAGCCAGTTGCTCACTCAAGTCTTTAACCAAGGCAAAAATACATATAATACATGCTCGTCGCGGCGCGACCAACAACTCCCAAACTCTCCATGAAAAGAAGATCTATACTCCAAGGGTTTTCCTCTCATATTCAACAAACACTTTCAGATACGACGCAAAGATTGTACGATAAACATGAATTTGGATCTTACAAATCACTAGGCTCGGAGGTTGATATTCATTTTCGAAATCAACCTATTTCTCGCATTCCAAATGAAGTAAACGGTTGCCGTGAGCGCCGTTTTCTTCAGCTTGGTTTGCCGACTAGCCAATTGAGCCTCCTTCTTAATCCATTTAAGAGCCCTTTAAGTGTCAATGACCTATGACTGAGTCTAACCCAAGCATGAATCGCCCCCCAAATTTCCGAGCTAAAGGGGCACTCGAAAAATAGGTGACCCGATGATTCCATAGCACCACCACAAAGGGAGCAAGTCTGGTCTTCATCGAGGAATTCTAAGCTTGCTTGTTTGCTTGTTTTATTGAACTCGCCTAAGCTTGTAAATTTTAACGAGATTAATTAGATGTCCTCGTCTAATTACTAATTTGAGTTAAATAATTTTTGTAGATGTCCTCGTCTACGTGAATTATTCAAAATTTTTTATTTTCGGTTATTGGAAAATCAAGCTAAGTCTTGTTCCTTGTGGACTTATATTTGTTTTCGGCACAATTTTGACCAATAGTCGGGCCCTAGTAGCCTTGTGAAATCGGCCCTTATGCAAAGGATTTAGCCCAATTTAGACCCAATTTTCGGCCCCTTTTGAGCTTAAGTAGCCGCCCATGAGCATTTGATGGTTAAGTCGATGCCACCCGCGAGGGTGGCGCCCGTTTTTACTGTGGGTAAATACAATATTTACTGTTGTGGGATCAAATCAGTTTGAACTGGTAGTTCAACCTTTTCAATCCTGACTCATCATTAAAGTTATTTCTACATTACTTTTATGAAGACATATATATCAACTTTTACTGAACAAAAGTTATCTTTTTTCACACAAGAAAGTCTCTGATCCTCGAGCAAATGAGGACACCACAAGCCACAACATATTCAAGAGTTAATTAAGGCTTTTCCAAATACATCATCAAGCTACAGTCAGGATTTAAAATGGACAAAAAGATTACTACTACCACAAACTAAACTGCATGTTAGAATCTACTGATACAAAACACCACACACACACCTCTAAATCACTAACACACACACTCACACATCTGTCACGGCTAACCGTAAGCAAAGCCCGAGACACAAATCTTAGCTCCTAAATCGGCGAATACTGACTAAACACATTGTTTGTCAATAGATACTGATTATCCCTACTTCCATGTCGACTTCTCTTTTTGCATCCATCTCTAGACCTAAAAGCAATCGAGCTCAACCTTGCCTCGTCATCATCGCTAGTGCTAATGCACGAGCTCCCGACCCTACTTTCTGAAAACGAGACACAAGAATCTGCATAAAAACCCGGCCTATTCTGATTTCTTATTGGGCTTGCGTTTTCTCTGTTGCACAATATTCTCTCCAGTTGTTTTCGGAAGTCGTCTTTTCTGGGGTTTTCGTTCTCGTCAGACGGTCTAACGAAACGGTCTTCGATTTCACTCGTGAGTGACTCGACTTCGACTTCATCCTCGTCATCGTTTTCCGAAGCTTGACCACCGGTTGACTCACAGCTTGAATTTGAATCCATCAGTTGTCGAGCAGTGGAATGAGAGGATGATAGTGGTTTGGATTTTGTGGTGGCTGCTGCCTCCTTACGTTCGCGAAGCTTTTTCAAGATTAGGGTCTTCAGTAAGTTCATTACTTGAACAGCGTGCATGAGAGCGGTAAGCGGATCTGACATCTGGTGTGAAAAAAAAAAAACAATTAAGGCAAGGAACAAAAAGTGATTGTGAGCTTTTGTGTTTGGTGAAAAAACAAAATAGAAGATTTAGTTTTTTCTTTTCTTCTTTTTTAGGCTATGGTTTTTTCTTCTTATTTGGTTAGCTTATAAGCTTCCTGTATTTAAATAAGCTTCGTTTGGTAGGAAGAGCTAATCTCATAAGCTTCTTTGGGTAACTTTTCAAATAAGCTCATTGAATATTCTATTTCACCTAGCTTATCAACTAATTTTACCGAACACTTTTATTATATAAGCTAGTTTTTTCAGCTATAAGTCATAAACTATAAGCGATAAGCTCAAAAAATCACTCATAAGCTATCAACTAGTTTTAATGCCATTCTACAGAAACTAGTCAGAATCTAGATGTAGGGAAAAGGTACTTAAGATTTTCGATGCCACACGAAATATTTTATCTTATAATTACACAAAAGTAAAAATCGAGAAAATTTTAGATTATGGATGCACAAGTAGACTTTGGATGGATGGTTTTCCTAAAGAATCACCTTAGTCATGTTGGGCGCAAAAACCATAGCAATATTTCTCGCATTCATTTTGTTGGACTCCTCTTGCTCGGCAACATCAGCCATGAGATCAATAGCCCATTCGAGCAGGCAACTCTCGGTTGGCTTTAGCTGCTTGATGAGCCCGACAAACTCCTCTTCCTTATTGCATTGCAACACTTGTTCAGGCGAAAGCCCATCAAGAACGCCACTCGGCAGCTCACGAAACCAGGCTTTGATCAAGCCAGCCAAGCAGTGAACGTCAATGTTTTGGGGCACAATGCCTCGCCTGAGCTGGGCCTTTACATACTCCTCTTTTCCATTTTCTGGATTTATCCGGAAAATCCCTTCAGCCTAATAGTTATGGAAAAAACAATTTGATAAGGTGGCAGCTAGAAATGTTATGGAAGAAACCTTTTTAATGTAAACGGTAAATTGGCTGAGATTTTTCAAGAGTTTCCGAAAATTGTGACTTCATCACAACTATTGTGAGTCAACTACATGTAAAGGACATAAATTGAGAAAGTATTTTTGTTCACCTTTAGACCACCCAATGCATATAATCTCTCCTGCATCATTAACAGAATAGTTGGCACACTATTGCATCTTGTGTCATAAGACCACTGCATTGAATTGGCTGAGACACCACATACACTCACACTGCACAATTGATTTAAACAATCAATAATAAAAAAAATAAAATAAAATTACAATATCAAAATTAAATCAGGTAAAAGGCAATAGTAGCTTCAATAATGCAAAACTTCCAGGAATCCAGATAAAAATCCAGGAAAAATTATTCATCAGGAGCATCATAAGAAATAAGCTGATATTAGCATGTCCATGTATGAATTGACCAAACACCTCATAATTCAAATTTACTTGACCAAAAGTTACACATTTGCGGTCAGCAATTCAATTCTTAAACTGTCCCCAAATATGAATTGCTCAACTCAGAGTATTCAAAGCCTTTCGCCACTGAAATTTACTTCAACCAATCTATTTCAAGATTCCATTTTTTAGCAACCAATCCTTTTTTATTTTTAGTTCTTTCTCTGGTGATTCATTTGCTCCATAAACTCTATATGTCCAAAATATAAGCTCCTCAATCCCAGCAACATTTGATAGTACTATGCATCAGATCTAAACACCACCATCACAACAGTGCTCCTTCGACATATCC